TTAAATATGCTTCTATTATATTTAAAATAGAAAAATAGACTTTAAAAAATTATTATAAATTTATTGCCCAGAAGATAACATGTTGTTGTAGTTGTTATGTGTCATTGAGTTGCTTGTAACTCATAGCGATCCTATACACAATTGCTCTGAACCCTGCCCTATCCTGAGCCAGTGTCACAGTCTCCAACATACCTACTCCCATTATCTCAGTTACTGTGTCAATCCATCTAAGGTCTTCTATCCTGTGCTGTCCCTCCACCTTTCCAAGCATGATGAGCTGGTCCCTTCAAGCATGATGGACAAGTCTCCAAGGACTGGTCCCTCCTAACAACATGCCCAAAGAGCTTCAAAATCCTTGCCTCCAAGATGTTTCAGCTTTTCCAGGACAGATTTGCTTGTTCTCTTTGTAGTCCATGGTATGCTTAATACTCTTCTTCAGCATCACCACTCAAAGGCATCAATTCTTCTTCTGTCATCTTTGGTCACTTTCCAGCTCTCTGATGCATAGCAAGTAATTGCAAACACTATGACCTGGATCAGGTGCACCTTAGTCTTCAGATTGACATCATTGCTCTTCAGCACTCTGGAGAGGTCCCTGATAGCAGATTTACTCAATGCAATTATTACATTTTTTTTTTATTTTCTGGCTGCTGGTGCCAAGATTTCATTGTGAAACTGAGCAAGTTAAACTTAACAATCTCAGTATCTTCTCCATCTATTATGGTGCTGCCAGTTGGCCCAGTGGTGAGAAACTTTGTTTTTCTAATGTTGAGCTTCAATCCATTTTGGAGACTGCAGTCCTTAACCTTCTGTAGCAAATGCTTCAGGTCTGAGGAAAGACATTTAAATAATTTTAAACAACTGTGTTTTAATTGTGATTTTAGTGAAAATTCAGAAAGAGAAGCTTGTCCTATTCCAGATTATCATCTTACCAAATATTTCTATTTTTCCATTCCTTTTGAAGTGTTGTTCCCATTACTCATTTCAATGTGAGGTTAATTATCCATTCTTTTCCTGCTCTTCTCCCCTCGACCTCCATTTTCTATTATTTTAACAGTGGTATCATGCAATATTTGTCCTTTTGTGACTGAGACATTTCACCTAGCATAGTGTCTTCCAGATCCATCCATATTGTGTAGTCAAATCAACGGGATAGAAAACAGAAAAATTATTGAAACCATCATCAAAGCCAAGAGCTGCCTCCTTTGAAAAGGTTGTAAAATAGACAAACCATTGGCAAATGTAACAAAAGAAAAGACACAAATATCTTAAATAAGAAATGAAAGAGATGACATCACAACAGAACTAGCTGAAATAACATCAATAATAATGGAATATTATGAAAAGCTATACTCTGATAACATTGAAAACCTAGAGGAAATGGGAAAATTCCTAAAAAGCCACATCCTACTCATATTGACACAGACAGAAATGGACTACTTAAACAGCAGACTCATAAAAAAAAAGAAATTGAACAGGTCGTAAAAAAACACACAATCCACTATCCACTCCTGCTAAAAGACCTGGTCCAGATGGCTTCATGGATGAATTCAACTAAACATTCAGAACCAAATTATCACCAATTATATATACATTATTTAAATAATGTAGACAAAAGAAGGGACACTTCTAGAGATGTTCTATGAAGCAAGCATAAGGCTAATAACAGGTAAAGACATCACAAAAAAGAAACCAGACTATTATCTCTCATGACTATAGATACAAAAATTCTCAACAGAATCCTAACCAATAAAATCCAACAGTACATAAAAATTAATTCACCACAACCGAGTGGGATACATAAAGGGAGTGCAGGGATAGTTAAACAAAAGAAAAAAATGCACCAGTCACTGAATACAGAGAACATGTTAGGGCACACATAAAATCCCAAAGATTCTGAAGGATTAGTAGACCAATTTTAGTAGAGTGGCAGGTTATAAGATTAATATACAAAAGCAAGTTTGATTTATTTACAGCACAAAGAAAGCACAGAAAAGGAAACTAGAAAAGTAATGCATTTACAGTTGTCAACCACAAGATGAAATATTTAGGAATAAACCTAGAGACACAAAATTCTTTATAAGGAAAACTACAAAGCACTACTATAAGAAACCTAACTAAATGGGAAAATATTCCCTCTTCATGGGTAGTAAGATCGGACATTCATTGTGAGAAGGGTAATCCTACCAAAAGCAATCTACTGATTCAATACAATGTGGTTACCAAATTCATTCTTCAAGGAGATAAAAAAAGGAATTTCAGTTTCATTTGGAAAGGAAAGAGACACAGTATAAACAAAGCTCTTCTGAAGAACAAAAACGAAGTTGGAGACATCTCACTTTCTGATCTCTAAATCTCCTATGCAACTGTAGTGATCAAAACAGCATAGTATTGGTACAGTGAAAGACACATAGATCAATCGAATAGAATCCCAAAATTAACCTATCAATTTATGGTCATCTGTTATTTGACACAGTAGTAAGACCCATTAAATGGAGAAATGACAGCCTCTTTAACGAATTGTGTCAGCCAAATTGAAACAGGCTCCAGATCTCACGCCATATACAAAAACCAACTCAAAGTGGATCAGAGACCTCCATATAAATAAAACCCACCACCACAAAGATCATAAGAGAGAAAATAGGAACAAAATTTGAAGCCCTGGCCTGCTGCATAAATAAGCTTGCAAACATAGCCAAAAATACTCACTTTGGAGAAGATAAAATCAGCTACTGGGACCGTCTTAAAATCAAATCCCTGTATGCATCAAAAGCCCATAGATATGGAAAAACATTTGGCAATGACATTTCAGAGAAGGGTCTTATAACTAAAGTTTAGGGAATATTACAGGGTCTCTGCAAGAAAAAGACTGCTAGCGTGATCAGGTGTGCCTAACCCAGGCCATGTTCTTCACTGTTACTTGCTATTCATCTGGACAGTGACCAGGGATGACAGAAGAAGAATCAATGCCTTTGAGTTGTGGTAGAAGAGTCTTGAACATACTATGGATTACCAAGAGAGCTAACAAATCTGTCCTGGAGAAGGTATACCCAAGCTGCTCCTTGTAGGCAAGGATTTTAACACTCCATCTCACATACTTTGAGTGTGTAGCCATGAGGGACCAGTCTTTGGAGAATGCCATCATGCATGAAAGGATCGAGGGACAGCACAAGAAAAGACCCTGGATGAGATGGATTGACACAATAGCTGGGATAATGAAGGTAGGTATGTCAGAGACAGTGAGATTGGCTCACAATTGAGCAAGGTTCAGAGCTATTGTGCATAGGGTTACTATGAATTGTAGTTAACTAGATAGCACTTAACAACATAACAACAGCAATCTGATCACAAAATAGGCAAAGACATGAAAAGACTATTCACAAAGGAGGACATTTGGCCAACAGACACGTGATGAGATGTTCAAAATCACTAGCAATCAGAGAAAAAGAAAAACAACAGTGAAATACCATCTCATTCAAGCAACTATAGCAAAATTTAATGACAGTAAACAATAAATGTTGGAGAAGATGCAGAGAGATTGAAACTTGTGTGCACTGGTATTGGGATTGTAAAATTACACAATTGCTATGGAAGACAGTTTGGCATCTCCTTAAAAAACTGAACATAAAAGTTCCATATGACCCAGTTATTCCACTATAGGAATATATCCCAAGAAAATAAAAATTGTACATAGCAACATTATTCACAATAACAAGAAAATGGAAACTTCCTAACTGCCCATCAGCAAACAAATGGATTGTGAAAATGTGATACATTCACATACTGGAATACTATACAACACTAAGGAACGATGATTTCATAAAATACTATGTAACTTGAGAGAGGCCAGAGAGCATTACACTGAGTGAAGGATCCCAGTCATATAAGGACAAATATTGCTTAAGAACATGATTGTGATAATAGGATAACTGAGCAAGGTGTGTACACATGTTCCAAAGGGGAAAATGAAGGAGAGAGGGAGAAGCAGACAGAAGAGAATGAGGGGGGGAAAAAAATCACTGGGATAATAGAAATTGGTGGGTGGAGGGGAGTGAAGAATTGGGAAATGTTCAATGAGGAGTTGAGAAGATGAGGGAATAACAGGTATAGAGTAAGAATTATATAAAATTTAATACATATAAATTATTATATAAAACATAAGTTTAGATGAATGTATATGAATAATCATGCAAAACACAACATGTGTAAAACATAATATAAATGAATGATTCTATGTAAACCAATTTAAAAAATAACAAAATAAGATTTCTTTATCACCAATGTTTCAAAAGTGGAATACTGTTTTTTCCAAATTATTGTTAAAAAACAAAAATCCTGTAGGCATATTATTTTCTTTTCATAAGTTAAATTTAGGCAAAAATATCTACAAATAGTGTTAATATTTATGGAATTTTTGCTCTTTGCTATACACTGCTCAAGATATTTTCCTTATATTCAGTCAAAATAAAATCTACCTTTGAGTCAGTTCTAACTCCTGGTAAATCTTCAACAGGTTTTCAAGGTTCTAAATCTTTACTGGAGGAGACTGCCCATCTTTTTTGCCCTGGGAGAATAGGTAGATTTGAACCATTGACTTTTTGCTTTGAACCACTGACTTTTGCTTAGCAGTGCAACTGCTTAACAGTGTATGTGACCAGGGCACCTTTTTCTTATGTCAGTTCATTTAATCCTCATTTCTATTGAAGAAGGTTCTGTTACTGTTCTCATTTTGTAACTGAGGAATTGGAGGTTCAGAGAAGTGAAAGGACTTGCAAAAGCTTCCTCAGCTAGGTAGATCTGCTCCCGTGTAGTCTGACCTGAGAACCTAAGCTGTTAACCATTCAGCTCTGTTATTTAACATCGTGCTAGAACATGCATAATAACTGATTAAACACCCTGCCACTGTGTTTAGAATGCCTTTGTATTAATTAATCATGAGAAAATTTTTAAAACCAGTTTTTTAATGGAAATACTTAAATGCAACATCTCATCTTTTTTAGTTTTTCAGTTACGGAACAAAAATACTGTGTCAAAACACTGAAACTCCACGGTCTAAATTTTTTCCACCTCTCAAAACCCCAATGCTACCACCTAACAGTTTTCAAGGCAAAGTGGCATTCATTACCGGCGGAGGAACTGGCCTTGGTAAGGGAATGACAACTGTCCTGTCCAGCCTTGGAGCCCAATGTGTGATTGCTAGCCGGTGAGTTTGTCTCTGTAAGTTGCAAGCATGCTTTTCAAGCGAACAGTTCTGCTGCCATCGTATTGGATACAGTCTTTGCCCAGATGGTTTGGTTTGCGCCATAATCTTATAAAAATACCCTTCTTGTTTGTTGTTGCCTTAGCATTCCCATGTGTGCAGAGTAGAACCATTTCATAGGACCTTCAGGGCTCTAGCCCTCCAAAGCCACTGAGCAGGCCTATCTTCCTAGGTGCCACTGGATGGATCAGACAGCATTTTCTCTTGTAATCAGGTGCTTAATAGTGCCACACAGGGAGTTAAGACATCCACAGATTACTTAGATTTTCTTGAGAACAGATGTTTAAAGAAACAAGAGCTAGGATACCAGTGGATTTAGACATACCCTTGATTATTGCAGCATTATTTACAATAGCAAAGAATTGGAAACAACCCAAGTATCCATCAACAGAAGAATACCTGAAGAAACTATGAGATATTCATACAATGGAGTATTATGTATCACTGAAAAAATAATCAAGAAGGCGTGAAACACTGTGCAACATGAATTAATATAGAATAATTTGTACTGAGTGACATAGTTCAGTTACAAAAGGACAATTAAGGTTAAAGACCATTGTTATGAAAAACTTAGGAAAGTTTTACACACAGATAAATTCAATCTTGGGTGGTTATTCAGACATTGTAACTAATTGTATTAACCAATTGTAATGAAAAACTAATATGATTTTTAAACTTTCCCTTAAATAAAACCCCCCAATATTAAGAAAAAAGATCTCTGAAGGCAGAAAATAAAGTCCAAAACATGCAAATAAAAAGAAGAAAAACAATACAAGAGAATGGAAATGATGTTTATTATTGACCTGATGATATATACATTTTCCAGATTAAAAGTATAGAGTATTTTTTCTGTACATGAAAGTGAAGTTCAAAAATACCACCTTGAAACTTGATCTTCAGTGGGAATGATTATGATTACTGTTTCAGTAAATAATTAACCTTGAGAAGAATGGTTATAGTTCTTCCATTTTTTTTTTTTTTAGAAAATACAAATTTTTGAAATTCTTTTTTTGCTGTGATGATTATATGAAGAGTATGGTATGTGGAAGGAGTTTCTTCTTATTAGGCAGATTCTGGTCCTCTGTGACTATGTAGGGGAGATGTGCTACCAGAACAAAGACAGGCAATTTAGAGAATACCAGATGCTTGGTGAGAGAAAGATGAGCAGTGGCCTCCAGTTCACTTTACTGCCTCTGAAAACCTGCTGGAGAATCAGCTATGAGTTGGTTCCAACTCGATAGTACACCACAACAACAGTCCCTATGTAAGGAAGCCTGGTGGGGCAACAGTTAAGTGCATGACTACTAACTGAAATGTTGGCAGTTTGAAACCAGTAGCTTCATGGAAAATAGACCTGGCCATCTGCTTCTGTAAGATTGCACACAGGATTACAGTATAGTTTTGCTCTGTCTCATGGGGTCACTGTAGATCAGAATCAACTTTATAGCATCCAACACCACTGTGAAATGTAAACTTAGAGCTTTAAAGACTAGTAAAACCATAGTTTTTCTATCTGTTGATAGGCAGTTGGGTTGCTTCCATCCCTTTGCTATTGTGAATAATGCAGCAATAAACATACATCTGTTCGAGTAGTAGCTCAGATTTCTTTAAGGATATTCCCTTAGTGGAATTGCTGAGTCAAATAGAATTTCTGTTTCCAACTTTTTAAGAAAGTGCCAGACTGCATTCCATAGTGGTTGTACCATTTTACATTTCGACCAGCAGTGAATAAGAATTCCAGTCTCTCGGTCACCTCGGATAACAGCAAAGAGGCGTCTTTCAGGTAGAACCCAGCAAAACCCGGCCAGAGAGGGAGGACAGGAAGCGGCACTGGGCAAGGTCACCTCGGATAACAGCAAAGAGGCATCTTTCAGGTAAAACCCAGCCAAACCCGGCGGGCCCTTGGGCCAGAAAGGAAAACATAATCTACACAGGAGTTCTACAGGACACGTCAACTTCCCTTGGAGACAGTACAACTAAACTTAAGAGACACTGGTCAAAAG